CTCCCAGGTCATATAATCCAACAGTCTAATAACTGTTAAACTACAATACAGATAAAAGCAGCGGCCGGATTACTGGCTGGTGTTCCCTTTGGGTCCCATATAACCCCTGCTCTAAAGCAGCAGCACTGGCTTCCAGTTTGTTTCCGGGCTCAGTGCAAAGGGCTCATGCTAGCGTTGGTAACCCTAAATAACCCAGGCCTTGAATACCTGAAAGGCCGTCTCCTTCCCTACAGACCCTCTCGGGTGCTGAGATCAAACGAGGGGGCTCCCTTGGTAGTTTCCCTGACCTCAGGGGTGCCAGGGGGTAGCCTGGATGAGGGCATTCTCTGTGGGAGTACAGGCGCAGCCCCACCTGGGGAAAAATGTCAGGGTTTAACCTGGGATGTTCCTCTGCTGAGCTGCAGCCCTTCCCTGCTCTCTTCTTCCAGGCTATGTTTTGAAACTTCTTCCTCCCTCCCTCCTTTGGTTTTACAGCAGGAACAAGCAGGCCACAAGCGGGAGAGAGTGGAAAGCGATCCGGGTACCGAGAACCCCCGGGCCGAGAAGAAGAAGCCCAAAGCTTCCCCGCAGCCGGAAGAACCAGAGGCCGCTCCAAAGCCCTTCACCCCCTTTGATTACAGCAAAAACGACCTCCAAGTGTTTGCAGGTGAGGCTCCTGTCTGCCCCCGTGAGCTCAGCAGGCTGGACTCAGGATCCACTAGGGCTCTCCTTATGTAATAGTCACGTGTGGGGAAGGTGCCTAACTCAGTGGTCCCAGGTTCGATCCCCAATGGACTCTCCAGCTACGGCTGGGAGAGATGGAAATGCCAGAGGGCTGCTGCCAGTCAGTGTAGACAGTACTGAGCTGGATGGACCAATGGTCCGTGTACAGCAGCTTCCTAAGCTTTTTATCACCAACATTGTTATTTATTTTATTGCTATTACTACTGCCATTTAGTTTTGTTTACGCCCTCTGCTTTGTTTCAACGCCAAGGCAAAATAAGACGCTGCCTAGTTCTTTTTTTGTTTTTTAGGGACGCGGGTGGCGCTGTGGGTTAAACCACAGAGCCTAGGACTTACCGATCAGAAGGTCGGCGGTTCGAATCCCCGCGACGGGGTGAGCTCCCGTTGCTCAGTCCCTGCTCCTGCCCACCTAGCAATTCAAAAGCACACCCAAAAGTGCAAGTAGATAAATAGATACCACTCCGGCGGGAAGGTAAACGGCATTTCTGTGCGCTGCTCTGGTTTGCCAGAAGCGGCTTAGTCATGCTGGCCACATGACCCGGAAGCTATACGCCGGCTCCCTCAGCCAATAAAGCGAGATGAGCGCTGCAACCCCAGAGTCGGCCACGACTGGACCTAATGGTCAGGGGTCCCTTTACCTAGTTCCCTTTTTAGAAGTCTTGGCTGTTTGAATTCTTTCACTACATGTCTGTTTCACAGCCGGCGCTTTTTATTCATGCCTAAACTTTGCTGGTCTTGATGGCTCTTGAATTTATCTATTCTCTGCAAGAGCGATCTCCTTTGCTAAGATTTGCTTTCTGCCCCCATCTTTCTCCCTCTCTCTCTTTCTCAGGAAGCAGCAGGCCTAAGCCCTCAACACAGTTTGATCCCTCCAAGCAAGCTGGCAAGGTAAGGTTGTTTTCTGCACCCAGGAATTTTGATAAATCTCTTGAGGCAGGTGAGCCCATGAAGGCTAGTAGCAGAGGATGGCTCAGTTCTGCCTCCGTGGTCAATAACGCTTTTGAATATCAGCTGCTGGAAAACACAGGAGGGGAAGAGTGCTCAGGTCCTGGTTCTGGGCTTCCCTTGGGGGCATCGTGAGAACAGGATGCTAAACTAGATGGGCCAGTGGGGTAGTGGTTAGAGGCTGGACTAGGACCTGGGAGACCAGCTTTCAAATCCCCACTTGGCCATAAAGCTCACTGGGTGACCTTGGGCCAAGAACTGCTGTTTTGACATGACTACCTTCTTTCCCCCTTTTTCTCTCTCAAAAATAAAAACCAAACATAGAAGTTTCCCGGAGCCGGCAAAGTCCAGCAACCAGCCGGAACGAAAAGCATGTCGTACATGGCTGGGAAATCCAACAGGTATGTCCGGACAGTTGTTTGCTAGAACGTTCGAGCTGCCTTGCAAATAGGACTTTAAAGCTTTCTAGTCCTCAACATTGTTTGTTCGGGGGACGGGACGCTTTTTTCCAAGTACATTCTGCATCAAGAGAGCATTTGCCGTATTTTTCGCTCTATAGGACGCACCGGACCATTGGACGCACCTTGTTTTAGAGGGGGAGAACAAGAAAAAAGTATTCTCCCCCTCTCTGCTCAGCACCCCTTCAGCGAAGCGGCAGGAGAAACGGAAATGGAGCCCCTTCCATTTCTCCTCCCGCTTGGCTGAAGGGGTGCTGCACAGCTCTCCCTCTCTGCTGAAGCCAGGAGAGTCTTGCTCTCCTGGCTTCAGCGAAAGGAACCTGAAGTCTGCGGAGTGCAGCAGGAACTCGCGCTGTGCTCCGCAGGCTTCAGGTGGCTATCCCTGAAGCCTGGAGAGCAAGAGGGGTCGGTGTGCACCAACCCCTCTCGCTCTCCAGGCTTCAGCGAAAGCAACGCGAAGCCTCCGGAGCGCGGAGGGAGCGCTCCCTCTGCGCTTCGGAGGCTTCGCGTTGCTTTCGCTGAAGCCAAGGAGCCTGCATTCGCTCCATAGGATGCACACACATTTCCCCTTAATTTTTGGAGGGGAAAAAGTGTGTCCTATAGAGCGAAAAATACGGTAAGCTTCAGCTGATGGTTGGAACGTCCCCTGCTAAACTTTATTCTGAAATAAGAATTTATAATGCAATTCTCTTTGCAGAGGCTTCAGGCATAATTGGCCGAAAAGATAGTACGAATCCTGGAAGCTTTTGGAAGGAGCCGTGGAATGCAGAGTTGGAATGGCTTTTAAACGAAAGGGGATGCTGTTTGCCACTGCCGTTTTTTGTACGGATACCTGCTGTTGCTCTTTTTTAAAAAATAAAAAAGATATATATTAATCTGCTTTTCTTTCCCCCACAAATGATGGAGGAAAGAGAGCATCTTAATAGATTCGAGCAGCTGTTTGTTTGTTTGTTTGTTTGTTTGTTCTCCCCCTTTCCTTCATTCGTTCAGAAAAGCCACATCCCGCTTCATGCAGCCCCAAGAGGCTCTCAAAGCATCTTTATATAAGATTTAAAATTGCACATTTGAGTCTGGCAGAGCCAGAATTCACAGGTCACCTTATCGTCATCCTGCCCCTTCCCGCCACTTAAGGAGAAATGATCCTTGTTCCATTTAGCTCAATACTGTCTGCACTGACAGGCAGCGGCTCTGCAGGATACCAGTGTGGATCTCAGCTGCCTTAACTTGAGCTGACCACTGGTCCATCTAGCGCAGTATTGCCTATTATTGTTATAATCATCATCATCATCATCATCTCACCTTTTCCCCAGACCCAGACTCAAGACAGTTTACACAGATAAAACAGAGCTAGCTAAAAAACATAGACAAATCCAGAGTGGAGTCCCTAAGAGGTTGACCCGATCTTACAAATAATAAATTATTAGGTAAAGGGACCCCTGACCATTAGGTCCAGTCGTCGCCGACTCTGGGGTTGCGGCGCTCATCTCGCTTTATTGGCCGAGGGAGCCGGCGTACATCTTCCGGGTCATGTGGCCAGCATGACTAAGCCGCTTCTGGTGAACCAGAGCAGCACACAGAAACGCCATTTACCTTCCCGCCGGAGTGGTACCTATTTATCTACTTGCACTTCGAGGTGCTTTCGAACTGCTAGGTTGGCAGGAGCAGGGACTGAGCAACGGGAGCTCACCCCATCACGGGGATTCGAACCGCCAACATTCTGAGGCGTGTACATCAGCAAGCCCTAGGCTCTGGTTTAACCCACAGCGCCACCCGTGTCCCTAATAAATTATTAGTGGTGTTATTTTCTTCTGGCAACCCTTGCACTCAAGCAGTCACTTTGGTGCTGTCTATCACAGAGGTTTGTCTTAACCCCTGAAAGGCACACTCCATTGTTTCTTGAGATGTTGTTTAGTCGTGTCCGACTCTTCGTGACCCCATGGACCAGAGCACGCCAGGCACTCCTGTCTTCCACTGCCTCCCGCAGTTTGGTCAAACTCATGCTGGTAGTTTCGAGAACACTGTCCAACCATCTCGTCCTCTGTCGTCCCCTTCTCCTTGTGCCCCCCATCTTTCCCAACATCAGGGTCTTTTCCAGGGAGTCTTCTCTTCTCATGAGGGGGCCAAAATATTGGAGCCTCAGCTTCATGATCTGTCCTTCCAGTGAGCACTCATGGCGGATTTCCTTCAGAATGGATCGGTTTGATCTTCTTGCAGTCCATGGGACTCTCAAGAGTCTCCTCCAGCACCATAATTCAAAAGCATCAAGTCTTCGACAATCAGCCTTTATGGTCCAGCTGTCACTTCCATACATCACTACTGGGAGAACCACAGCTTTAACTATAGGGACCTTTGTTGGCAAGATGATGTCTCTGCTTTTTAAGATGCTGTCTAGGTTTGTCATTGCTTTTCTCTTAAGCTTTTATATTCGACTGAGAATATCAGGCTATACATGGCACTTAAAGAACCTTTGAAGAAGCCCCGCCGAGTTTAATGGACTTGCTCCATTGGCAAAAAAACACACCACCCCGTGCAGATGGGTTGGAGATGCAACGTGGCCTCACTTGCCCTTGCTGAAGAGCCACGTGGAGAGAGACTTCAGCCTTCCCCTCCTTCCAGCCAATCAGGAGCGCGCATCGCCCTCCCTACCGCAGCTGCTCCGCGACGTCTCTATCTCGCTCTCACGCGCAAGGAACGCCCAGCGCCCCACGTGGCCCGCCCGCCCCGCGAGCGCACCCTACCTTGCTCGCTCGCCTCGCCTCCCCTTCGAACCCTCTCCGCCTGCAGCCAACCAGAGGCCGGCGCTGCCTCCGCCGGCCCCGCGGCCGCGGCTCCTCATTGGTTGGCGCCGCTCTGGGGCGCGCCTCCCTTGAAGCCGCCGCTGCGCCGGTTCGGCTGAGGCGTGTACAGGTGGCCTGCGCTTGCGGAGGCGAGGCGGAGCGGAGGGGCAGCCGCTTCGCCTTGCCCAGTTCGGCCGGCCATGGAGCTTGGCCTGGGAGGAAGAGAAGGAGGAGGAAGGAGGGCAGCAGCAGCGGGAGGGGAGGCGGAGGAGGAGGCGGCAGCCCCAGCAGCCGTCATCCAAGAGGGCTGGTTCCGCGAGACGTGCAGCCTCTGGCCCGGGCAGGCCCTCTCTCTGCAAGTCCAGGAGGTCCTGCATCAGCAGCGGTCGCCCTTCCAGGAGATCCTGGTCTTCAGGAGGTAAGGTGCGGGAGAAAGGCCAGGATGCACGTGAGGATGGCGTGCACGGGTGCACTGCCCCGATCCTGTCAAAAGCACAGGGCGGGGCTGCCCTTTGGTGGCGTTCATACAGCCCACCTTTTTGTCCAAGGAGTCTTCCCACCCATCCAAGCACCCCCAGAAAAACATCTCATTGTTTCACTCCCCATAACAACCCCACGAGCTCACCCCATTGAGCTTTTGTGGCCAAGTGGAGCATTTGAACCTGGGTCTCAGTGGGACATCCTCCGCCCGTGTTTCTCAAACTCTGGTCCCCAGCTGTTCTTGAACTGCAACTGCCATCATCCCTCATCACTGGTCCTGCTACATGACGGGAGTTGTAGATGGAGACCCAGGCTTGAGAAACGCTGCCCTAAGCACTGCCTCTCCGTCAAGGTGACTCCTTCCTGGCTGGTGGCAGCTGCTGCCTTGGAATTTGACAACTGGTCCATCTAGGTCAGCGTTATCTGCACTGACTGGCAGCGGCACTGTTGGGATTCCGAGGCAGGAGTCTTTCCCAGCCCTACTTGGGAGATGCTGGGGGGGGGGGCTTTGTATGCAAGGCAGGTGCTATTGGGCTCTAGTCAACTATTAGGGATGATGGGATCTGTAGTTCAACAACATCTGGACAGCTGTATCTTCATGTGCCTCTGTATTAAAAAAAAAGGCAGAGTTATTTCAGAGGTAGCTAGGGGCAGTGAAGGCAAGTGGCAGTCTGGTTCAGGAACAGGGGCCTCACAAGTGTCAGACAGCAGTCCCTGTCCTTGCCTTAAAGGTAGCTTAGGGGCAGTGAAGGCAAGTGATGGTCAGATTTATGATGGAGGTAACTTGGGGCAGGAAAGGCAAGTGATGGCCTAGTTCAGGAACAGAGACTCTTTGCACCTCTATACATTGTTAGATTCCCAGTTCTCATCAACCTCAGCCAGCATGGCCAGAGGTCCCTGTCCTTGCATTAAGGGCACCTTAGGGGCAGGAAAGGCAAGTGATGGCCTAGTTCAGGAACAGAGACTGACAACTGATGGCCTACTTCAGGGATGGGGAACTTGTGGCCATCCAGGTATTGTCCCTGGAGCTCTGCAACGTTGGTGTTCAGGGACTTAAAGGGGCATATTTTGGAGACCGTACACCTTTGCCCTGCTATTCACACCCATCATTTCCCCTGCTCTCTTCTTCCTCTAGCAAAACATACGGGAACGTCTTGGTCCTCGATGGTGTCATCCAGTGCACAGAGAGGGATGAGTTTTCGTACCAGGAAATGATCGCTAACCTTCCCTTGTGCAGTCACCCAAACCCACAGAAGGTAAGCCTTGTCCTGTCGTCCTCCTGGGGGATCCATCTCTGGACATGATCCTATGAAGAACTTTGCTGCATCAGGTCCTCTAGGCCAGCACCCATTTTTTTTTTGGGGGGGGGTAACCTGCATATTTTGCCACATTTGATTCTTTGGGCTGTCTCCAACTAAGTCCTACTGGAGAGCAGACCTGCTGAAATTAATGGGCCCAATTTAGTCACGTCCATTGACTTCATTGAGTCTGCTGTGCACAGGGCTAGCATTGGATCCAACCCTTTGTTAATTTTTATTGGGTGGCCATTAGCTTTTAGGGTTACATGTAAAGGTAAAAGGTAAAGGACCCCTGGACGGTTAAGCCCAGACAAAGGCGACTATGGGGTTGCGGCGCTCATCTCGCTTTCAGGCCGAGGGAGCCAGCGTTTGTCCACAGACAGCTTTCCGGGTCATGTGGCCAGCAGGACTAAACCGCTTCTGGTGCAACAGAACGCCGTGACGGAAACCAGAGCGCACAGAAACACCATTTACCTTCCCACCGGATTGGTACATATTTATCTACTTGCACTGGTTTGCTTTTGAACTCCTAGGTTGGCAGGAGCTGCGACAGAGCAACAGGAGCTCACCCCATTATGGGGATTTGAACCGCTAACCTCCTGATCGGCAAGCCCAAGAGGCTCAGTGGTTTAGACCACAGTGCCTCCCGTGTCCTATAGTACATGTATTCCTGGTTCAACTGTAAGTTGCTTTGGGTCATTCTTTGAGAGTGGGTGGTAGGTCATCTAACTTAAGAAGTAGAATGTTGTAAAGTACAGAAAGGGGTGAGGGCAGGTTTAATTGCTTAGATTAATGACCATATAACTTGACAGAAGGGAAGGTTGCACTTGGTCAGGGGTGGGGATCCTAGATTCATTGAATTGTAGAGTTGGAAGGGACCCTGAAGATCATCTGCTCCAACCCCCTGCAATGCAGGAATCTCAACTAAAAAATCTCTGACCACACACCCTCTCTGCTTTGCACCCTCCTTCCATGTTTTTGCCTAGCTGGAATATGTCCTTGTCCTTGGACCGTGACTATGCTTGCTTGTATGGATGGAGGGCAGAGAGGGGCGTGTGAGTGGAGTGGGGGAACTAGCCTACTGTCCAAAGGTAAAATTCGCATTCGTTGCTCCACCCACTTTTGCTTCTGGCATGTGGCCCCCGAAAGGGAACACGGCCCTCGTCTAGGGGGATGAATGGGTGGGCGTTCTCAGAGCAAAGTAACAGTGCCGTCTCCACTACACAGGTGCTCATCATCGGGGGTGGCGATGGAGGAGTCTTGCGGGAAGTGGTCAAGCACCCCTCCGTGGAGTCCGTAATACAGTGCGAAATTGACGAGGTAATAAAGTTTCTGCTTATGGATCGTTGCCTGTCAAATGGGATTCCCCCAAACTGTGATCCTCAGCCTGCAGTCCACGACGTGCAATTTAAAATTGCACAGCATCTCCCACGACACATTTATGATTGCTACAACAAGGGGGTCTGTTTGGTTGACCAGTAAATTGGTGGCCAGTGGTCCGCCAAGACCCCTGGCAGTTTCCAAGAGGTCCTCCGGCAGCGGGGTGGGGTGATGGGAAACCAGTAACAGAAAATTTAGAAGGATTTGACCTCAAGAGCTCACAATGGGTGAGAGCCAAGGTTAGGCTTGATAGAGTTGTAGGTTGGAAGGGACCCTGGCGGTCATCTAGTCCAACCCTCTGCAATGCAGGAATCTGCGCTAGAGCATCCATGTCAGATGGCAACCCAACCTCTGCTTAGAAACCTCCAAGGAAGGGGGAGAGGCCACCACCTTCCCATGGAGCCAGTAGACCCATTGAAATAAATAAATGAAGATGACTAACTTGGGCTCATAAATTTCAATGGGCCTAAGGCTGCGGTGGCTGCAAGCCAAAGTTTCTGTGTTAGTATCCTAATTTCTTTCCTCTTGCCCAAGCTCTGAGGGCGTTGGCTGTCTTGTTGCCTGGTACATTTCGGAGCTCTTTGACAGGATAAAAGCAATTATCAACCTATCCTTTCCCCGGGGCTATGATTTCTTAACCGCCTTCCTTCTTAAAGACCTACTTCCTTGTCCTCTAGTTGTGAAGAATTATAGGACTGAAGGAAACTATGCAGCTTATCTTGTCAAACCACCTGCAGGGCAGGAATCTTTTTGCCCAGCGTGGGGCTCAGGCCTGAGATTTAAGAGTCTCATTCATGCTCTACCGACTGAACTCAAAGAGGGGGGAGGCGGGTACCACATCCTCCTCCACCCAACCTTGGAAGTTTTTTGGGGGGGGTTTGCAAGATGAGTCAGAGAGAGAAAAATGCATTTTGCATCATGCTAATGAAATCTTGCCAGGGCAAAGTCAGGAGGAATCCAAATTGGGGGGGGTGGGGGATGGCAGGTTTGCACAGGTAGCAGCTGCAACAAAATGCTGCAGTGCAAATCAGAAATTAAGGTCACTTCTCTGAAGATAGCATGCTGATATGTTTAGACTGAGTTGTAAAGTTGACCTAGAAAAAAATAACAGTTTAATAAGAGAAGTAAGGTAGAGATACATGAATTGCAATGCAAATAAGAACTTTAAAGTAATAAAGGTGACGAGCACTGGCGGAGGGAAGTCACATGGGTGTTTACCTATTTTATGTATTTTTCTTTTTCCTTTACCTTTTCTTTTTTTGTCTGTAAGTGTATGTACATTATTGTTATGTATGTATGTACAGTGGTACCTCGGGTTACAGACGCTTCAGGTTACAGACGCTTCAGGTTACAGACTCTGCTAACCCAGAAATAGTACCTCGGGTTAAGAACTTTGCTTCAGGATGAGAACAGAAATCGTGCTGTGGCGGCAGCAGGAGGCCCCATTAGCTAAAGTGGTGCTTCGGGTTAAGAACAGTTTCAGGTTAAGAACAGACCTCCAGAACGAATTAAGTTCTTAACCCGAGGTACCACTGTATGTATGTCATAATAATAATAATAAAAATGCTGCAGTACCGCCTTTCAGTCCCTAACAGGAGCGTTTGTGTTCAGAGTTCCTCCAAAAATGCAAAGCAGACCAGCTGAGCCTTTTCTCCCCATCCCAGGGCTGGTTACTTCTACAGCCGACATTCCTTAGAGATGCAAGGCACCTTGCCTCAATGGGAGGAGATAAGCTGAACCACTTTGGTTTGGGATTTCTTTAAATCCCCAAACTTCTCTACGTGCTTCTGGATTCTCCCAAGCATTCCCGAAACCTCCCTCTCTGTTCCCTGTGGTCCTGAATAGGGGTCTCCTAACAACTCTCTGCACCTTTCACAAACTACAGTTCCCAGGATTCTTTGGGAGAAGCCATGACTGTTTAAAGTGGTATGATGCGGCCTAGAATGTATCGTGTGGACAGGACCCAAGTGTGGTTTCCAGTGATTTATTTATTCCAGTGGCTTTAGTGATTTATTACTGTTGCTTATTTAAAGCAATTTCCCTGCCTAAAATCCTGTTCTTCACCCAACCCAAGCTCATGGAATCTTAGCTTGGAGTCTTAGCACAAAAGGAAAAGGGGATAGGGAAGGAGGAGGAAGAAAGCAAACTCGGGTGCATTTATTAATTTATGATACATGCTTTTGTTCATTTTTCTTACTATACACCTATGACTTGATGGGAACGTTTGCTATCTACCTTATTTTTCACTCTATAAGACACACTTTCCCCCTCCTAAAAAGTCAGGGGAAATGTGTGGTTTATCAATTGGGCGAGTAAATAGACAAAACTTTTTCTTTCTCTTTCTTTTTTTTGGGGGCAGGATGTGATCCAAGCATCTAAGAAGTACCTCCCAGGGATGGCCGTGGGATATTCCAGCCCGAAACTCACCTTGCATGTTGGGGACGGCTTTGAATTCATGAAGCAGAACCAGGAGGCTTTTGATGTGATAATCACAGACTCTTCCGACCCCATGGGTGAGTGCAGAGGGCGGAGGGGATCTTGACCAGCAACTGTGATTGGATCATGAATCTTGTGTACATGCTGGAGCATGCACTCTTGGGGTTGACCTGGAGGCTGCAGTTTGTACAGATCACACACCTAAGTGGCTTGTGGGGGCAAACGACTTCTGGGATTAGCACCATTGGCCAGTCCACTTCCAGGTCAGTTTCAAGGTGTTGGAAGTCCTTATACAGCTCAGGAGCAGGTGACATGAGAGACCGCCTTATGCACCCAGGAAATCACTGCGGTCTGCGGGAAAGCTTTCTCTGCCAGTTCCAAAAATCCCTGAATCCTGCTTTGTGGGAACTCCTAGGCCACACAATGACCATATACATACGTAATAGGCAATCCTTATAGAATTTCTACAAACCGTAACAAGTTCAAAATGAAATATTTAGTCTCAAAGTCTCTGAAAGATTGTCTGTTATGTAGGTATATATGGTCATCGTGTTGCCTAGACATTGTTAACATTCTCTTTGCAACACAGGTTTGTTTGGATACTTGTGGGAACTGCCCCTGTCGCTGCCCCTGTTATCTTTCAGGTGGTTTTTGGGTTTTTTGGTAATATTAAGCAGTACTTTGGTACCTCGGGTTACATACGCTTCAGGTTACATACACTTCAGGTTACAGACTCCTCGGGTTAAGAACTTTGCTTCAGGATGAGAACAGAAAAGGTGCTCTGGCAGCACGGCGGCAGCAGGAGGCCCCATTAGCTAAAGTGCTGCTTCAGGTTAAGAACAGTTTCAGGCTAAGAACGGACCTCCAGAACGAATTAAGTACGTAACCAGAGGTACCACTGTATGTAAATGCTTTTGCCTCAAAAGAAAAAGAGAAGAGGAGAAGCAAATTCAGACACACTGATTAAAGGTAAAGGCAAAGGGACCCCTGACCGTTAGGTCCAGTCGCGGATGACTCTGGGGTTGTGGCGCTCATCTCGCTTTACTGGCCGAGGGAGCCGACGTTTGTCTGCAGACAGCTTTTCCGGGTCATGTGGCCAGCATGACTAAGCCACTTCTGGCGAAACCAGAGCAGCACACGGAAACGCCGTTTACCTTCCTGTCAGAGCAGTACCTATTGATCTACCTGCACTTTGATGTACTTTCGAACTGCTAGGTGGGATTAGCGTAGGATAAATGCTCTTTTACTTTGTGAGGTGGGAGGTTTGCCCTCAAAGGTGTGGCTTGCAGATTGGGTGAATAAATGGATGAATGCAGTTTTGCAGGGTGTGATCCAAGCGATCCCAGAAATACCATTAGGAAGAACTTCCTGACAGTAAGAGCTGTTCGACAGTGGAATTTGCTGCCAAGGAGTGTGGTGGAGCCTCCTTCTTTGAAGGTCTTTAAGCAGAGGCTTGACAACCATATGTCAGGAGTGCTCTGATGGTGTTTCCTGCTTGGCAGGGGGTTGGACTCGATGGCCCTTGTGGTCTATTCCAACTCTATGATTCTATGATTTTCATACTGAACCCTCCCTGGGGCTGTTCCTTCTCCTCCAGGTCCTGCAGAAAGCCTCTTCAAAGAATCCTACTACCAGCTGATGAAGACAGCTCTGCGGGAAGATGGCATTCTCTGCTGCCAAGGTGAGGGGCAGCCGAAATAGCCTGTGTGCTGATGAGCAGTTGGAGGCACTGAGAATATTTCTGAAGTGTTGGGTTTCCCCCCACACCAGCTTTAAAACAACAACAACAAAAAACAACAACCAGGGATGGAAAGCCTGGTGCCCCCTAGATCAGGGGTCCCCCTACTCAGGTCCATGAGCTTCATTCAGGTGGTCTGCAGCATACTCTTATTGGATTTTAATTGTGTTTGTATTTCTTCCTGTATTATTTTTCATTCTATTGCAGCCATTTTAATAAGTAACGGGGAAAATTTATAATTTATCTTAAAAACCATTGTATACAGTTAAAATCATTAGTAGGGCTGGAAGAACACTTGTAGTTTAATGGTGAATTTTGGACACAGTGGAGAGGTAAAAGTTTTGGATAGTTGTAAAAGATGCAGGAGGAAATGATTAACAACAGGACCCACAAAGGGGAGATTCTTTGGAATCTTGTTTCTATGTTGTATGTTGGATATGTGACTGTAAAATTTTAATCTGAAAACCAACCAAATACATACATACATACTCAGCAAAAATGCAATATGTAAGAAATGAAGCAAGGTATAAAAGTACAAATTGAAATACCATGCTGCATTTAACACAGCATATCAGGGTTGCTGCGACAGCCTAAAAATTATGTAGGGCCTTCTCAGTGGTGGCACACGTGCACTGGAACTCCCTTTCAGGTTTCTGGGTGGTCCAGCTCAGATTTAGTTCTTTGGAAGCCTGCCCCCTAGTGCCTGGGAGGTGGAAGGGCCGCAGATTCTTGGCTAACCAAATACCAGCTCTTCTTTCCTCCAGCTACCCAGGAAGGCTTTGATAACGCCCCTCTCCAAATTTGTCTCTCGGCCAGGTGAATGCCAGTGGCTGCACCTGGACCTCATTAAGGAGATGCGCCAGTTCTGCAAGTCGCTGTTCCCCGTGGTCGAGTACGCCTACTGCACCATCCCGACCTACCCCAGCGGACAGATCGGCTTCATGCTCTGCAGCAAGAATTCAGTAAGAGATACTGCCGCCTCTTTCCGTCGATTGGGGCTTGGGGAACAGAGGCTTACATGCCGGAGCAAGCCCTATGCAGAGCATTGAAACTTACGGGCGTGAATCAGTCCGGTCCATTAACGTCACTGGGCCTGCTCTAAGTACAGTGGTACCTTGGTTCTCAAACTTTATCCATTCCAGAGGTCTGTTCCAAAACCAAAGCATTCCAAAACCAAGGCGTGCTTTCCCATAGAAATGCAAAACGGATTAATCCGTTCCAGACTTTTAAAAACAACCCCTAAAACAGCAATTTAACATGAATTTTGCTGTCTGACAAGACCATCAATCCATAAAATGAAAGCAATAAACAATGTACTGCAGGCACACAATCAATCAGTAGCTGAACTGGGTTCCATACAGTCACAAAAACGAAACAAAAAGAGCTGCAAAAACAAAAACACAAAATGAAGAGCAAAAACAGGCAGACCACAGCATAACACTCAAAACTTAAGTGTGTCACTTAAATTGGAAGTGTAATACTCAAAACGGAGCACGTTCAGCTTCTGAAAAATGTTCGCAAACTGGAACACTTACTTCCGGGTTTGCAGTTTTTGGTTCCAGGTTGTTTGAGTACCAAGACGATTGAGAACCAAGGTACTACTGTAAATGTGGGTTGCATTCAGTCCCCCAGGGACTTCTGGTTGGCTACCTCACAGGGTCATTGTGAAGGGGGTGGAGGAGATGCATGTACACTGCCTTGGGCTTCTTGGACTATAAATGCAATAAATAAGGATAAAACAGGGAGATGGAGAACCTTGAGCTCCTTTGGCAAGAAAGAGTAGGGTGGGTGTAATACAGGCAACATGCCATTGATGTGGGGATTATGTTACTTATGCATCAGTAAGCCCCCCCCCCCCATTTCTGCCCCTTTGTGGATGCAAACAGGGATGTTCCTGCAAATAAATCCAATTTTTATTCTTCCTGCAGAACACTAATTTCAGGGACCCTGTCCAACAGTTGTCCCAGAAGGAAGTGGAAGCAATGAATCTTAAGTATTACAACTCGGATGTCCACCGGGCAGCCTTTGTCCTGCCTGAATTTGCACGAAAGGTAAACCACCGGGGCTGAGATGCTGTCCTTTCAAAGTGAAGTTTTCTTTTCCAAGGCTGGGATGGGGTGAAGCAACTGGTATTCAGAAGCATTGATGCCTTCAATTTGCTATTTCTCCAGGAAAAGCCACAATCACACCATACAGTGGTACCTCGGGTTACATAAGCTTCAGGTTACAGACTCCGCTAACACAGAAATAGTACCTCGGGTTAAGAACTTTGCTTCAGGATGAGAACAGAAATTGTGCTCCGGCGGCAGCAGTGGGAAGCCCCGTTAGCTAAAGTGGTGCTTCAGGTTAAGAACAGTTTCAGGTTAAGAATGGCCCTCCAGAACGAATTAAGTACGTAACCAGACGTACCACTGTACATCTAAATTATTACTGTTAATAATGATAATAATTGTCATTCACCCAAGGTCCCAGGGCGGATCCCAACATTAAAACATAATATTAGAAACAGTTTTAAGGCTACTTGTCATCACAGAAAGAAGGCAAGTCCTAAAAATTACTGAACTGTGATACCACTTTTAAGTAGTCACATTTTCCCACCCCCCAAAGCATTTTGGGATCTGTAGTTCGTTAAGGATGCTGAGAGTTGGTAAAGGTAAAGGGACCCTTCTTGGCTCCATAGGTCATACTAATTGCCTATCCAGCTTTAGGTAAAGGTAAAGGGACCCCTGATCATTAGGTCCAGTCATGACCGACTCTGGGGTTGCGGCGCTCATCTCGCTTTATTGGCCGAGGGAGCTGGCATACAGCTTCCGGGTCATGTGGCCAGCATGACTAAGACGCTTCTGGCGAACCAGAGCAGCGCACGGAAACGCCGTTTACCTTCCCGCCGGAGCAGTACCTATTTATCTACTTGCACTTTGGTGTGCTTTCGAACTGCTAGGTTGGCAGGAGCAGGGACTGAGCAACGGGAGCTCACCCCGTCACAGGGATTCGAACCGCGACCTTCTGATTGGCAAGTCCTAGGCTCTGTGGTTTAACCCACAGCGCCACCCGCGTTGTTAGGAGACTGCTATTCCCCTCCCAGAGCTACAATTCCCAGAGTTTCCTTTGAAGAAGGATTGGTTGTGAAACTCTGGGAACCGTAATTCCTGGAGGGGAACAGGGGGTCTCCTAACAACTCCCAGGACCCTTAACAAACTACAGTTCCAGGAATTATTTGGGGGGAGCCATGACTGCTTAAAGTGGTATCACAGTGTTGTGAATGCGGCCATGGAAAGCCCCGAATGAGGGTCACCCCATCCTGTTGATTATCCTCATTTCTCTTTTCCTCCCCACCAGGCTCTGAGCGCCGTGTGAGAACCCCGACGCAGATCCACTTCTGGCCTCGGATACCCTGGCGGGACGGAAAACCCCAGAAGCCTCATCCACCTAGCGGATCGTCTCTGGTGTGCGGCCGGCCTGACGTGGTCCTCGCTTGCCTTGCGGCCTCTAGCCTGCCAGCTAAACATTCCTTCCAATTATGTATTTAAAAAAATGAAAGGACTCTGGGTTTGAACCCAACCGCAGGACCCAACTTCCAAACAACCCTGCCCCCCGCCCCCATCCACCTAGTTCAGGCTAAGCTGTTGGCCTATTGCTTGAACTCGTGTCTCCAACATGTGGAGTATTAATGTAGAGCCTTCAGGCGCCTGCCTGCTTCCTTTTTAACACCCCCCACCCTGAAAATGCTGTATTTATAACTGACAATGTATCTCCCTTTAAAGTGGTTGCCATCTAGTTTGGAAGGACCAGGCACAATGGTTTGACACTCTGCCTTTCAAGGGGGCATGGGGATTGGCATCGGGTGGGGTGGGAGGTGGCATAGTTGGATATGTTTTCTCTGCTCCCCCTCCCTTGCCTCGCTCCCCTTTGCCCCCCACCTCCACGGAATGCCCACACCTCTTTCCTCCTTGCCTGGTCAGGTGGTTTTGGTCACATGCCCCCTGCCTGCCCCGACTCCTGAGCCCATCAATGGGGTCTCTTCGCGGCGTTTTAATTGGCTGAGCGCAGAAAGACCAAAGTTGTCTGTAGAGAACCGTTAACCTCTTTGTATAGTAAACAGACTCAAATAAAATTTAAGTATCGTTTTCTTAAGGGTTGGGTGGGTGGGTGAGCTTTTGAGATAAGCCCCCCTCTCTGTACGATCGGGGTGCCTTGCTCATTACGATCTTGCCGGGCCCTAACATCAGCCGGCGCCTGGAGCGAAACATTTCCAACGGCTCGTCACCACCTCGGCGCCCAAATTGCGGCTCTAAATCATGTTTATTTTTGGGGGGGTGGACCTAGAAATTAATTGGGCCTCTTCTCCTCTCCCCAGTTACTAAAAGACCTACTCCCATCAGCATTCAAGGCCTCAGCAGTAGCACCTGCCTTTGTGGGAAGAGTTAATGGGATTTCTTAAGAGTCACAGAATTGTTGGTCCATGAGATCTTTCGGTACGACAACTTCCATCATCACTGGCAGTGCCTGCTGAGGCTGATGGGAGTTCAGCTGCAGCTGGGGTGGGGGGCATTCAGCTTACCCACACGTGTCTTAAGAACTGCTGGGTTGGGATCCGAGGATCTTTTTATCTTTAGTCTTGTTGTTTTAGAGCAGGTTTTCTCAAACTTGGGTCTCCAGCTGTTTGGGGACCTCAGTTCCCATCATCCCTGACCACTGGTCCTGCTAGGTAGGGATGGTGGGCGTTGCAGTCCCAAAACAGCTGGAGGAAGTTTGGGTAAGCCTGTTTTAGAGCTCTGCTCATGCATCTGGTTCCCTCCCTCTTAGCAATATGTATTATTGTCAGGTATCTGTGGCCTTCCAGCTGTTGTGAGGTGCTCAGCAGCGAACATGACTGTCACCTCTCCAAGAACTCTAGACCAGTTGCCCATCTTCGACCATTTATATGTGATTGCAAAATGTCTGTTTCCAAAGGTGATCTTGGGTTGGGAGGGGGGGATCCGTTAATATCAGCCTGTGCTTGAAGATCACCTGAACTTTGCCCTGTGATACAAGAAAGGTTTGCCCAAAGTGTTGAGTTGGCTTTGTTCTCTCCCTTTTTAAAAAATGTCATGAAGGTGGAACAGTGCATGTACAGTGGTACCTCGGGTTACATACGCTTCAGTTTACAGACTCCGTTAACCCAGAAATATTGCTTCAGGTTAAGAACTTTGCTTCAGGATGAGAACAGAAATTGTGCTCCGGCGGTGCGGCAGCAGCAGGAGGCCCCATTAGCTAAAGTGGTGCTTCGGGTTAAGAACAGTTTCAGGTTAAGTATGGACCTCCGGAACGAATTAAGTACTTAACCTGAGGTACGACTGTATAGAACGAGGCACAGAGAGACATTCATTTCCCCTTTAGGGCATTTGCTCTGCCTAAAGCAGAGGAGAGGGAGGCTATGGGCTTCCACATGCTGTTGAACTCCCATCCCTGTCATTCACAGCCAGCGAGGGCCAACAATCAGTTGGGTGATGGCATTTGTAGTCCAGCAACATCTCGAGGGCTGCAAGTTCCTCCTCCCTGCCTTGTATACCTGAAGGAGCGTCTCCACCGCCATCGTTCAGCCTGGACACTGAGGTCCAGTGCCAAGGGCCTTCTGGCGGTTCCCTCCCTGCGAGAAGTGAGGTTACAGGGAATCAGGCATAGGGCCTTCTCAGTAGTGGCGCCTTCCCTGTAGAATGCCCTCCCACCAGATGTCAAGGCAATAAGCAACTATCTCACTTTTAAAAGACATCCGAAGGCAGCCCTCTTTCAGGAAGTTTTTAATGTGTAATGCTGTGTTGTGTTTTAATTTTCTGTTGGGAGCTGCCCAGAGTCGCTGGGGAAACCCAGCCAGATGGGCAGGGTATAAATAATAAATTATTATTATTATTATTGCAAGTTGCCTTGAATGGAGGATTTGTGGCCTTCCTGCTATTCCTGGACTCTAGCTCCCATCATTCCCAGCAACCTGGGCCCAGTGGTCATGGATGATGGGAGTTGTAGTCCAGCAACATCTGAGAGGCTCACAGGGCCAGCAGCAGGAGAAGCTTCCCCTCCTCCCAAAAAAACCAGCCTTTTTTCTATTCTGTTTACACGAGAACTTGATAGTACGTGTAGAGCTAACTTAATAAGAATCTCATTACTTGCATGTTTTGTTTTTAAATCTAGGAATTTAGGCAGCCTCTAAATAACCCAGTCAAACTATTGGACCACCTAAGCCAGTATTGTCCACACTGACCTGCAGTGGCTCTCCAAGGGTTCAGAGAGAGAGGGCAGTTTTCCAAACCTACCTGGGGATTGAACTTGGGACCTTCTGCATGCAAAACTGGTGCTTTCCCACTAAGCTACTGCCCCCTTGGAGCCATAAGAGATGCTTCTCCTAAGGTTTTAGCTGCATCTTCAGTTTTATTACGTTCACTGGTTAGTGAGCTCTAACCTGCTTCCACTGTCTGGCAGCAGTCCAAGCAGGGAGTCTCTCTCCCAGCCCTTCCTGGACTTGAACCTGGGACCTTCTGCTTGCAAGGCAGGTGCTCTGTTACTGAGCCACAGCCCTTCTCTAGTTTCTGCCTGGCAGTTCTTGCCAGAAGAGAGAGAGAGGCAGGTGGGATGATATGCCATGAAATCTCAGTGTCAGCTCAGCATGTTTCCGGTGGCGTGGGAGAGCTTGGGTACATGGGCACTAGTAGGGCAATGGCAAATTCAGGGGAGCAGGCTTCCTTTATGACACAGCCACACCCACTTCTAAGATTATACAACTAAGATTATACAACCATCTTAAACAATAATAAGAATTCAGGATGCATTGCAACTATCAATGCACATCTCCCATGTGTTGCCTTTCAGCTAGATCTGCCGTTTTCTGGAAATGTATATGGGCAAGTGATTTGGAGGGCTCCAATATCTGCTTTCGGAGCGGCTTAAGCTGTGTTTTCCTATTGTATGCGGCAGAACGTGCTACTGAAGCACCTTGAGTTTTCAAAGTTACCAAAGGCTTAGCTTTAGAGCAGTGTTCCCCAAATGTAGGTCTCCAGCTGCTTTTGGACTGCAATACCATCACCCCTGACCACTGATCTTGCTAGCTAGGGATGATGGGAGTTGTAGTCCAAAAGCAGCTGAAGACTCAAGTTTGGGAAACACTGCTTTAGAGCAGTACACAAACAGCTCCATGTTCTTCCCACGCACCTTCTCCAAAGTGACCCTAGGAGCCGATCACCAGTGACCGACTTACCTCCTTTCACTCAGATTGGCTCCAATCAGCACAAAGGGCGAGAGGACTTATCAGCTGCTAAATAGTTCCCATTTTGTACTGATTTGGCAGCCCTAGGGCCCTAGAGACAGGGATCCTGCTACAAAATTAAAAATGGGTCTTTGGCCCCCTGCAACCCTAGATTCCTCCCTCAACACTGGTGGGTACAAATCTATTTTAGGGAAACAGGTGGCGCTGTGGTCTAAACCACTGAGCCTCTTGGACTTGCCGATCAGAAGGTTGGCGGTTCGAATCCCCATGACAGGGTGAGCTCCTGTTGCTCTGCCCCAGCTCCTGCCAACCTAGCAGTTTGAAAGCACACCAGTGCAAGTAGATAAATAGGTATTGCTGTGGCAGGAAGGTAAACGGTGTTTCCATGCGCTCTGGCTTCTGTCATGGTGTCCTGTTGTGCCAGAAGCAGTTTAGTCATGCTGGCCACATGACCCAGAAAGCTAACGCCGCAACTCCCTCGGCCTGAAAGCCGCAACTCCATGGTCACCTTTGACTGGACAACTGTCCAGGGGCCTTTTACCTTTACCTTTTAATCTGTACATGCTGTGAGCCTCTGGAACAGAAGCTGCAGAGGCTGTTCTCAGTGAGGGCTGTACGAAGCTGCAGTCTTCTGTGCCAAACCATTGCCCCACCAGGTTCAATATTGTCTACACAAATGAGCCGTGATTCTGCATGGTTTCAGACAGGAGACATCGCCAGCCCCTACCTGGAGATGCCAGGAATTGAACGTGGGACCTTCTGCATGCAAAGCAATTGCTTGGCCACTGAGCTACAGGCATAGAGGTGTTTTAAGCAGGTGCTGAAAAGAACACAGCAAAGGTACCTCCCTGCTATCAACAGGCAGGGAGTTCCGAAGTGTAGGTGCTGCCATGCTTTGTAAAACGGTATCTTGCAAGTGTGGAATAAGTAAGATGTGGCGCCTGTAAGAGTGCCGGTTTTGATGATTGAAGCAGTCAAAGTGGGTGCTTATGGGGGAAGGCGATCCCACAAGTAAACTAGTCCCAAGCAGTTTAGGGCCTTATAGTAACGCGTTGGTCTGGTAGCAAATTGGCAGACAGTGCAGAGCTTCTGAGCAGAGATGCCAACAGAATCTCACTCCTACCAGCAATTGTGCATTCTGAACAAAAGCTGCAGTTTTTGGATAAAGTGCAAGGGAAGCTCCACATATTGTACATTCTCCCAATTTTTTAGGGTTTCTGTTCCTAAAAAGAGACCGTGTATGACATGTTCCAGGCCCGAGTCACTGACGAAGGCCTTGCTAAAGTGCATCAAGGAACAAGTCATGCCACAGTCCAAGGAGGCTTTGCAAGTGAGGAGGTGCGTGGCTCGAATTGCGTGGGGAAGAGCTAACGGATGCAACACAACAGGCTCCAAATCCCTCTCCGCTGGCTGATGGCAGAATTGTTTTGCATTTGTGCTGCTTTTCTAATTAGAAAAAGGACATTACGACCCATAAAGTTAGGCTTAGCACAGAACCACTGCTGTCCTGTCCCTATTAAGAGGAGGAAATGTAAAAAGAGGCTATTAAAAAGATGGAGGCCCCCAATAATCATATTTTCAAAATGGAGTGTAGGAATCTGCCTTGCCCTGAGTCAGAGAATTGAATGTTGGGCCCATCTAGCTCTGTACTATCAACACGTGACTGGCAGCGATTCTCCAGGGTGATGCAGAGCAAATAATCCTGGTCTCTTGAGGGCCCTGGGACCCATGCAACTTCTTCTGAGAGCCAGTATGGTGTAGTGGTTAAGAGTGGTGGACTCGTAATCTGGTGAACCAGGTTCGCCTCTCCGCTCCTCCACATGCAGCTGCTGGGTGATCTTGGGCCAGTCACACTTCTCTGAAGTCTCTCAGCCCCACTTACCTCACAGA